TGCTCCCTGACATCTTTACTGTCTGCCCACAGTCAACTCGGCTGCCTCCTCTTCCTGGCGTGTGATGGCTTTGAGTCTGCTGATTTTCTGCCTGGGGATGGTTGTTGGGCTGGTGGCTCTGGGAATTATGTGTAAGTATTGGCTTACTCCCAGTCATTTGATCTGAGGGAGGCAGTATCTCAGGGTCTGCCTGGTGTACGCCAGTGAGCTTAATTGTTACCGTTTGTCTGTTTGTCACCACTTCTACCTAGCTGCCAAGGTGTGCTCAATAAAGGAGAGCTCCGACATTTACCTTCTGATTAAAACGATCTTTTAGATTTTTTTAATTAATGAAAATTATTTTTAAGAACCCTAAGCTGGTCTTTAAGATCCTCCTCAGTATAAATCCAGGCTATCTTTTGCAACTTTTTTTTCCCTCTCTATTCTATGCACCTTAAGATCCAGCCAACATGGAATTTTCTCTTTCACAAATAAACGGTCTGTCCCCCTGCCTGAGATTTTACTCGTTCCAGTCCCTCTTCCTGAAATGCCCCCCTTCCCATATTTTTAATGGAATGTATTTACTTCCACTGGGACAGGTCATATCCCATCTAATTTAAAAATATTTGTCTTCCTATAAATCTAAAAGCCCTCTAATGGCACATTATCATTTGTACAATTGTTACTTGTTTGTATACTTGGTTTTTTTAATAAGATATTTTGGAAACTTTCATTCGCTATCTTTGATTTATCACAGTACTTTGAGCATAACAAGAAATCAATATGTATATTTTAGGTGAATGGATATTTTAGTATCTGAAAACTGGAGCAACAGAGGTCACTCGCTTTGCGAAACGTGCTTAGAAATCTGTGTTCAGGGAAATGTCAAAACAGCTGCTTTGATCACGGCATTTTCTTACTTGTGATTGTCTCCTCCAAGTAGGTTCCAGTCTTTTGGAAAACCCTGGGGGTCAGCTCTGCGTGGTTCTTAATTTATTCTTTATACGTTACCCTGAACCCATTCATTTACTCATATGTACCTAGTAAACATTTCATACAGTGATACCTCTACTGAATTTAAAGTTCATTGAGAGGGCTTTCTTTTTTTTCTGCATCATCCTCATTATCCTGATTACAAAGTATCATCTAATTGTTCCATCTAGCTGTCACGCAGCAAAACTACTTACAAGCCGAGAATGAAAATCTCTCAGGAACTCTGCGACAACTAGCAAAGAAGTTCTGCCAAGATTTAATAAAACAATCAGGACAAAAGCAGAGTGAGTACGGCTCCATAGCCTCTTCACCGCCCCTAACTCTGGAGCTTTTGTGATGCTCCCCGTAGAGAATCTTGAGGTTTTGCAGGAAACATTGAATAAGAAGAAAAAGTCAGCCTGACTCAGAATGAAAGAGATCCTCTGCTTGATTTCTCCTTAAGGCCATACATGCAGCCCATGTGACACAAACTGGAGGTATTACGGAGACAGTTGCTATGGTTTCTTCAGGCACAACTTGACATGGGCAGAGAGCAAGAACTACTGCGCTGACACGAATGCCACTCTCCTGAAGATCGCCAGTCAGGACGTCCTGGTAAGGAGATTTCTGTGTCAAGTATTTTGGAATCATAAGGAGACAGATTTCAAATTAAATATTCGACTTTCATTTTTTCACATTTTTAGGTCCTCCCGTTTACAACACTGGAGAGTAGAAAATGCTGAAATAGAGTGAATGAGCGTTTGATTTCTGGTCTTACCTCAGCAACAAGAGTTACAATCATTTCTTGGCTTCTTAGCTCTATTTACTAATTCAAAAAAAGAATCTGAAAGTGCAAAGAAACTCAGTATGATTGCAAAGCATAAACAACAGTGTTATCCCAGTATTACAAGCCTTCTCATTTCTTGCTAAGTTGTTGATGCTTTGAACGGACCATCATGCAAACGCCATCTTTTCAGAAGCTCTTCCAGATAGCCTGGAGAACAATCTCGTTGGCACAACACAGGATTTCAGTTGAAAATTTTCTACTAAATATGTCTGCTCTTCCACATTTCCCTCTTTGACAGCTTCTAACGAAAGCTCTCTTTTCAAACAAAATACATCCACACCGTCTGCTGCACTCTCCTTTTCCGATTGAATATAGCTTTTCTTTCCATAAATCCTGGAAGCAAGCCAGGAACCAAGCCTTGGAGTCTCCCTTCAACCCAGTAACAGTCTATGAAAACATAGTTTTTAAAAGGCAGAAATTATTTATTGTTCTTTTCTTATAATTTCTAGCACAGGAATGATTCATGACTTTGCATATTAAAAATGAAAGCAAATGTTAATTAGAATAGAAGATCAGGACTTGGGCTATATGCAGACAGAGAGTCAGCAGAACTCAAATATTCAGGCAAGTCATATTCAACTGTTATAGATGATTTGCAAAATTGACCTGCACCTTCCTGAGAGCTGGAATAGCCAGTATGGAGCAGACATGAGGAAGTCAGCCCAGTGACATTCATGTTCATTTATTCTAACTTGCTGTACCATATACGTACTCTGTGTGTGGGCTCAGACTCACAGAGAAGACACTCAGAGAAACAAATTCACTTCTTTTCAATCACCCAAAATAAAAAGAGTGCCTTAAAATCTCAATTCTATTACAAAGAGATCAGTTTGAGACTACGTATGTTTTGAATCTTATTATTGATACCAGGTTGCAGATTTACAACTAAAAGAGGAAATAAAGTTATTTTTGAGAAATAAAGAATAGTTGAATCTCAAGCAGCCTTTGCCTGTCAGGTCCTGCAGTGAAGTAGATAATGTGGATGTATTTTAAAGATAAAAAACATAAATTAACAGAAAGGCGACAGATAAATTGAAGCTTTAAGAAATCAGTGACTCACAAAATCTTTGATAGAATGCCATTTTGTGTCTCATAGATCTGCCAAGGATGCGTCTTCACTTATTTTGGGGGGAGACATATGATGGTACATGAACATTTGACTTCCTTTTAATTTTGTTACTCATAGATTGACTGATGATTGATTCATCCATTAATTTAACAAATATGTGCTGGAACTATTCCAGGACCTGAACTCACGCATTAATAAAACATACAAAACTCTCTAACTTTATGGAACTTATATTCCAGTTGAAGCAAAAGGCAATGAACAAAACAAATTGCTATGGTACACAGTAGAGTAAATAAAGATAATTTCTAAGTAGAAAAAAGTAGATGTATGTCATTTGTAAATCCCTTCGAGCAAGATGTCATATAATTCTCTTTTACTCAGTAAATGAAAGCAAATGAATACTCCAATATATAAGATTTTGTGGGCAACCTAAGTAATGAAACCAAAGCAAGTAGAGCTTGTTTCTAGGGAATATAAGATTCACAAACAATGGTTTTTTTTTTTAAATCATTTTCCTTCTCTAGTTGTTTACCATTCATTTCATTTAGGAGACATATTTGGTACTTTATTTGTTATTCTAATCTTCAACTGATGGAATATAAACACACAGGATGATTAGAATATCAACTATCTTGTGTACAGATTTTCCCCTGTATCCTACAGGTACAATTCTAAATATCAACTATAATTAATAAATATTAATATAGACACGTATCTAACTTTTCGTATCCAGGATCTTACCATGAAGCTTTGCCTTTATGTCATCACAGGAACTGTAGAAGCACTCTGACTATTATATTTATTTGTGTCTGCAATAGCAATACATCACTAGCAGGACTGTATTGATTCGTTGGGTTGGATTGTCCCGCCGGAACTCCAGGGACATCTGGATGTGGGAAGATGGCTCAGTTCCCTCCAAAAATATGTAAGTCACTGGACCCTCAGAATACAAGGCACAACGAGCAATTTCTATTCCTGATATCCTTTATCCTTTTGAGTGCAAGTTGCTCGAAAGTGGGGAGGTGGCTCCAGATCATGCTGCGTGTTACCTCAGCAGTGGCTGAGCCACTCCCATCCTGATCCTAACAGGAGAACACCCATAATAACAGTCTTGTTTCCCTATTCTCCTGTTCCTCTGCTCTTTATCTAAGTCACAGTCCACCTCTATTCAAACTGATAACCAAAACCTTTACAATCTGACCATTGCTTTAATTTTTAATTAATGTATTCAACAGATACTTATAAAGTATTTACTATGGGGGCCAAGAATACCACAAGTACAAGCAAGCTTCTTCATAGACCCTACACTTCACCTCGTTCACAATATGGCAGGAATCCTGGTGACCCCTCTGTTCTTCCAAAAAATGAAACACATTTTGTAGTCTTAGGGGCTTTTGTACTTGCTGTTTCCTTCTAGAATGCTCCACCTCAGGAACTCCCTGACGGGCTCCCCCTTGTGGCTCAAGTCTCTGTTTAAACATCACTTCCTCAGTGAGACCAACTTTAATTTTCCAAACTAGGTTAGGCTCCCTCCACCACCTCCACTCGAGTCTATCCTATCACACTGTTCAGTTTCTTCATCACTCTTACCACGCTCTGAAATTTTCTATTTATTGGTTAGATTCTTACCAACAGTCTCTCACGCTAATGTAAGTTTCCCAGTAGAAAGGACCTTGTCTTCATCACTCTTATCATCAGCACATAAAACAAACTTGACATGTAGTAGGTATCCCATACATATTTGGCAAATGAATTAATAAATATACATCCTTTGTCCTCTTGTCATAGCTATGTAGTGGGGAGCTGTCTTATATCTGCTACCCTACAGCCTAGATCCTCATGTCCAAAATATTTAATCAACTTACTTTCCCTTGAGCTCATTTCCATAATGTACAGCTACTCGCCTATAGGGCCCCCTGTAGGAGCTCCTCTCTGTTTATCTCAGTCCTACCCTTCCTTCAAGACAGAACTAAAGTATGATGTTAGATGAGAAGTTAAAGCCTTTCTCATCATTTCGGATCCCCATCCATCTTTTCCTCTGGACTCCTGCGGTACCAACTGTTCATGTGCTGCTTAGTCTTATGCTATGTTAAATTTCTGTTGAGGCATTCAACTGTGCATGCATTCTACTGCCAAGCAGATTGGAAGTTTCCCAATGATCTGAGTGTTGCTTTCCTCCATACTTCTTGTGTCTACTTTGTGCAACAAAATACTACATACAGAATCTGGATGTTGATTATTTCGCTTTCAAAGGAACTAATTCTACCTTTTCCATTCACAGGTTTAAGCTTTCTGGAAGCGAAACGGGAAATATGACTTGTGCTTATTTTCATAATGGGAAAATCCGCCCCACCTTCTGTGAGAACAAGCATTATTTTATGTGTGAGAGGAAGGCAGGTAGGGCCAAGCTGGACCAACTACTCTAATGCAAAGTGATGGGCAATATGCCACAGGCAAGGGCTTGATTGGACAATAAAAGATCTGGATGAAGGAATCACTAGCCACAAAATTGCTTATTTTTTCCCTTTATTCCCCTTGGAGTCATCTTTACATTATCTTTCCGACCAGCACCTCTTACCCCCTTCTTTATACAGCCCTTTATGCTAAGGAATAACTTAGTACCTTCTTAATACATCCAGAAGCTGGTCTGTGAGTGGATCCTCTGTTTCCCAAGTGTTCTGTTTCCGTTAATTTTCATTTTTCTTGTCTTCTATTCCTAATTATCTCAACGTACTATGATTCACTGCATGTTTAGACATAAACACATACATTTTACATTGAAACAAGAAGGTTAGGGCTTAAATGACTTGAACTGTGCAAAGTATCTAACTTTGAGACTATGCAAAATCCCTAAGCTTGAAAGACAGCATAAGGTAGCGGAAGGCATACTAAACTTGGAATCAGTAGAATAGTTTAGATGATGTGATTACTAAACTCAAGTACAACCATGAAGCAGTCAGGTAACCTGTTCCATTTTCTTATATTTAAAATAAGATACTACCTGGAGGTGAGGGGTATAGGTCAATGGTAAAGTCCATGCTCAGTGTGCAAGGGGTCCCGGGTTCAATCCCCAGTGCCTCCACGAAGGGGAGAAAAATCAAATAAAATAGGATAACACCTGCCTTATACGCCTCACAGTTCCACAACCTAAAATGAAGCCTCAGAGTATTAATTATCTCAGAAACTCCGGGAAAGCAAACACCATGACTTTCCCGTTTTCTATTCTATGCCATCAAACACAGCTCCCTCCTCACAGGAAACGGAAACATGTTTGCTTCTCATTGTGTGAGGTAGTTCGTTAGAAAGCACCACAACCAGTGAAACATTACGCAAGCACAACTTCTATTCCAGGTCCACCTTTGGTCAGACCCAGGAGCAGTCATTTTCTGTCCAAGAGAAGGAAAATAAAGCTTGCAAGAAAACTGATGGGGTTTTAAACTGAGTAAACGCTCTGAACAAGGCCTGCGGGCTAGTTGACCAGCAAACACAAATGCTTTATCTCGCTCCTTTCCGGGTAGTTCTATGTTTGGTTTCTGCCGAGTAACTCGTGAAGTATTTAGAGATATGTGGAGAGGCACCCTTTAGCAGGATAATAGGCAAAAATTTCATTTCTTTTCACAGCCTCCCGGAAAGTATTCTTTCTCCTGAGATCAGTGGTAATAAAATGTGTGAACACGATTCTCAAACATCTCAACCGAGGTGCTTATGAAAACATGTCGATGTTCAAACACGAACACATATGGCTCTCAGCTGGGGGACTGAGGACGAAGAGCCCTGTGTTTTTAATGAGCACCCCTGCTTGATTCTGATACAAGCCATCTTTAATGTTGAGAAACATTACTTTAGAACCAACTCCCTATCTGGTGTCTGGTAAGTTGGTTAGTCTCTTTAAAACTCAAGTTTCTTCACCCATGGAATGAGTTTATTGCTATCTTGCTCATAAGGGGCTGTGAGGATCGTTTAATACAATCATGTAAGGCCTTGAGCGGAGTACCAAGCGTGTGATAAATACTCAGTAAATATATATGACTTCTATAGCTTTGTGCACTGACATCCAAAGGCATGTGAATCTATTCTATTTTAGACTAGCAATAAACAAGCAGATTTAGGGAGCTAAGAAAAAAAAAACAGAAATATCACGGATCCTGCTTTTACTTCAAAGGTCCCGAGATCTTGGTTTTGGGGGCACAGAACTCTGTTATTTTCCTATTTTTACTTGTTTATTTAGAGAAACCAAATAGGAACTAATAATTCAACAAATCATCCAAAAATCAGCCGTCTCTCTGGAATTTAGTGTTTGATCTCCCCTCTGAATGGAAATGCATATATTTTAGATCACTACAACACAACTAAATTTCAAAGAATAACATTGGAGGGCACTTTGAAAATGCATTTCAAAAATGTAAACCAATTAAACTGTACCTACAAAGATTCCTTTTTTTTTCTGGTACTCATACCAAAAACATCTTATACAGGAAATCAGAATAACGTAGATTTTAACAGCACATGTTCTGTGATCAGACCACCTAGTTTACATACTAACTCTTCCGCTTAAGTATGTAAGTGAACTTTGCTAAATGCTTCGACTTCTCTGTGCCTCAATTCGAAGTTCAGCTACAACATACTCACAGTAGTGCTCATTTCATTGAGCTGTTGTGGGAACCAAAATAATTCATGTCAAAGCCCTTGGAACCAGTGCTTGGGATGTAATGACTAATAAATAAGGTAGTATAATTAAAAACAGCAAAAATAACACAAATGACATATTAATCTTTTAGTATGGGAGAGCCCAGTGTTTCACACAAATAAATGTATCAGAGAATATACTGCACTGGGGAAAACAGCTCCTTCTGCGACTGACGGTGCCGATGGAATTTGCCAGCACCTGGAAATGAACGGCAGCTTCCGTTTCTAAGTTCCCGATGCCACTCGCTGCACGTTCGGCATGCCAGTGCTTTCTCCCTCTTCTTCACCTCAAGATAGAAAGCATTCCGTTGTAAAGGTGACAAGGAGTTAGGTCACATTATTTTCCATGTCAGAATCTCAGGTCCCATGAAAATCATATGAAATACCTGGAGAACTTGCTGGATGGTCTCCATTTGCCGCTGGAGGTCCTGTCGGTCCCACCCTGTGCCTTGGGAGGCGGAACTCAGACATACAGCAGCATCTGGGCAAACGCGGTGGTGATCAAGGGTGTTTACGCCCCTGGCTCTGTCCTACCCTGCCATTGTTTGGCAGAGGCTTCATGGTCTACACCTCAGGCCATGGTCCTTGTCAGACAAGAAACAAAGTTCCAATAAACACCTCCCCCTTAATCCTTCAGACCTGGGGAGTGATCATAGCTTCTCAACTCGTATTTCACTGCTCTTTTTGGTTCCCTTAATCCTTCCCAGGACTCTGTAGGAGCATCTTTGTTAAACGCCCTCAGATTGCCCCTGAAGTGTGCCATCTGTCTTCTCCCACTACAGAGGTCAGTGATGGACCAGTAAGACAGGGAAACAAAAGAGAGTCTTGCAGATTGCTGGGATCTGCAGACTGTACATTACTGAGACACGACTTTCGGCCATAAAGACAAATGGCCAATATATGAATGATGATTCAAGTATCAAAGTTATCAATACCAATGCCGGGGTGGGGGAGTGGTATAGCTCAAGTGGTATATAAGCCTAACATGCACAAGGTCCCGGGTTCAATTCCCACTACCTTCTCTAAAACATAAATAAACAAAGAAACCTAATTACCCACCCCCAAAAATAAGCAAAAATCAATACCAGTGCCGTAGTCATAGGATGTGGCCCAAATGGCCCTCTATTCACTAAATAATTCATACTTCCCTTCTAGAGGGAAAGTGTCTTAGAAAGGCAAAAATTATATTTATCAGGACCAACCTTTAGCTCCAAACATGGGCATTAGATTAGTGGATGTGGCTGTGACACATCGTACTTCAAGGTTATGGCTCAAGAAGCAAATGTGAATTTGCCACCTCTTTTTTCCCCCTCAATGGCTAGAACTACGAGACTTTAATTACTCACAGGTTAGAAGGAGCTGGGGTCACATTTGGAGGAAAACTGCCCCCTGACCAGGATTACTAGAGCTGAAATTTTACGTGTGTGAGAAATAAACTCTGATTGTGTTAAATGACTGGTATTTTAAGGTTCATTTGTCCCAGCAGCTGCATCAGCCCAGTTAATACAGTGTGTACATTTATTTAGGGAAACACAGAGATCTACAAGTCCTTATGCACTGGTTTGCCCAGCATCAGCAATGGGCTTACCTTTGTTCTCAAGGTCATTCTTTGCGCTTCGAGCCTTTCCGTCTTAACAGCAATCCAGTGCTATCACCTTCAACCTCTGCGGCATTGTAGAATCCAGAACAATAAACTTCTATCATTGGCCATTTGGAGTTCAGTTTCTTTCTCACTTCCTTCTTTACCAAGTTATGCTTTGGCTTAAACTTCATAAACTTCTGCTTTCTGGATGAAGATACACCTGTTCTTCCTTAAACTCAAGTATATTTCCCCACTGGTGTGAAAAGGTAGCTAATTTCAGTTCTTTCATTAATCTGCTCCTGACTACAAAAGGAGTTATTTGTCTCAGCCTTTCAAGTGGACTGCCTCGCCTGTCAGAGCATCTCAGACATGCAGGAGGATGAAACATACACCTCTCTTCAGTGGGATAATCCAACACCAAGCCCTTACCAAAAGCATCGGTCTTCCACCAAAAATTCAGGTAATCAGTTCCAGCGATTTAGACCAAGACCTTGTGGTTTATGGCTTTCATTTGTTACTGCTTTACAATGAGACCAAGAGATTTTTCTAATCTGAGATTCCCCACTTCAGAGTATTATCATGTGCAGAATGTGCTAATATTAAAATGAAGTGAAGTGAAGGAGGGGGTAGATAAAGTTGAAAAAGGAAAAGAGAGACGGACTTGATAAATATGTAACACATTGGTTTTCTCTCTTTTGCTTGCCAGAAAGACAAAAAAAATCCCTGGATTTGGAAAATAAGTTAGAGAAATTATATATTTTGTATAATTTTAGTTCCCACAGAGAAACACTCTGCAAATTATCTGATAAATACTAAGGGACAAAAAAAAGAGAAAACATAAGTTGAAAAAACTGGCCAACTCTCATCAGCCTGGATCAGTTCTATATTCTTTAATATTTGTATTAGTTTTCTATTGTTTGAGTAATAAACTACTATAGATGTAGGGGCTTAATACAGCACAAATTCATTTTCTTATAGGTCTACAGGTCAGAAGTCCAAAATGGCCTGAAACCAAGGTGTCATGGGGCTACCTTCCCTAGAAGTGGTTCTAGAGGAAATTCATTCTCCATCTTCCAGTTCCTAGAGCTGCATTTCTTGCTTTCCTTGACTGATGGCTCCTTTTCCATCTTTAAAGACATCAGCAGAACATCTTCAAATGTCTCTCTACTCCCTTCATCATAAGGCAGTCTGTCCCTCTGATCCACATCTCACTTATAATGACCCAGATAAAACAGGATGATCTCCCCATCCCAAGATTCTTAATTTAATTATATCCTTAAAGTCTCCTTTTCCACATAAGGTAACATCTATAGGTGTCAGAGCTTAGGACGTAGGCATCTTGGGCAGGGGCATTAGTCAGCCTACCAAACTATGCAAAGATAACATTTCATGCATTTTTCTCTGTCTGGCATTAAGAATATAGTTGTGGTATATTTATACAATGGAATACTACTCAGCCATAAAAAGAATAAAATAATGCCATTCGCAGAAACATGGATGGACTAGAGATTGTCATTCTAAGTGAAATAAGCCAGAAAGAGAAAGAAAAATACTGTGTATCACTCACATGTAGAATTAAAAAAAAAGAAACAAAAAAGAACGCTATGAACTCACCTACAGACTAGAAACAGACTTGCAGACATAGTAAATAATCTTATGGTTACTGAGGAAAGGGTGTGTGGGAAGGGGTAAATTTGAAAGTTTGAGATTTATGAATGTTAGCCACTACATATAAAAATAGATTTTCTTTTAAAAAGCGTCTTCTGTATAGCACTATGTTCAATATCTTGTAATAACCTTCAATGAAAAAGTCGATGAAGACAAATACGTATATGTATATGCATGACTGGGACATTGTGCTGTACACCAGAAATTGGCACATTGTAACTGACTGTACTTCAATTAAAGAAAAATTTTTAAAAAGAATATAAAAAAAACACACGTTTCTCAGTTTCCCTTCCTGAATAGTTGCAACTGTTACCTTAAAAAAAAAAATCTTCATCCAAAATCATATGTTTAAAGGGAAATGCCTTTGAACCAATCACAGCCAAGTGACACTGACAAGAGGTGAAGAGATTTGAGACGGCATCATCTTTGCTCTCAGAAATTAAAGCCTGCTGCCTGGCTTGCCATCATCTCGGAAAGATTGTTGGAAGAGGCTACATCTAACTGGTTACTAAGTTTGTGGTGCCATGTAAGGGTAACAGAAGTATATTATTAACGCTGTTCAATTTGGCATTTTCCCAAGTCAAGTGTATTGCAAGTTACCACTTGCATTTTGAAGAGTCTGAGTTCACCTTTTCCTGTTAACACACAATTATGAGGCTTCAGTGATTCTCCAGGAGGAATGTCTACTGTTAATTCCTTATTTCACTCGGTCTAGTCCTAGCCTGACCCACATCGCTCATCTACTTTCTCAAACTCCATTTCATTGTCTCTTTTCCTTGTCTAGGAGCATGGTGTCTGGTGGTGGTGATTTTGTGTATTTTCTGCACAGGCTCATTAACAACCTCCATTTTCTTGGGTGTCAAGTGTAAGTATGAACAGGTATCTTCAAAGCAATCTATAGATAGATAGATTACATGCCACACATAGCTTTTATGTATGCATATCATTACAACTTGTGGAACTGAGCCCTTGACCTGTGGGATCTGACACTATTTCCAGGAAGCTAGTGTCAGAGTTGAATTAGATGGTG